AATTCATAGATAAATAGCCTAGATACTGACTGCAGCGCCATCTGCCGGGCTGATTTGTGAATCTAAACCATCCAGGGTGACACTCAAATGCATACAAAAAAAAACATTCAAATCGGTCCAGCCGCTTAGGATGAGTTCACTGACATACACACGTACAGTAGAATTATATAGAGTAGGCTAGCTGGCCCAGCAAACGTTGTTTTCCATATAAATTATTTATAGGAAAGATAAATAATCTTGATACCAACTGCAGCGCCATCTGCCGGGCTGATTCGTAAATCTCGAATCCACCTGAAGGTACACAGAAAATTTCATTAAAATCGGTCCAGCCGTTTAGGAGGAGTTCACTGACATACACACCAACAGTAGAATTATATATAATAAAGTAGATAAACACTATTTTATAAACACTATTGTATACTCCATTCACATAGCTAAATTAATGAAACATTATTTCCAAATTGAATGTCATATAAAATACTTGATGAATGTCAAAGTTAATTCTATTACCGGTTACAAAAAGAGCTACAGTCTTAAGAAAAACCGCCACGTAACAAACTCGGTAAGGTTTTTTTATATTCGTATTCTTTGAGAATAACACTTTGGAGTATTCATTCTTTGAGACTTTTTAGATAACTTCATAGGGAACGCATGTGTTTTACATTATCACACTAAAAACTTTAAGCAGCTAAATCACAGAACAAACGATTGACTGGTTCAAAAAGGCATTAAGAATATTTGAATTTTTGATTTGAATACCACTTCTGACTTGGCTCAATCAATAGTCAGTCACTGCAGATGCGCTAGAAACGTCCTGTTGGATCCACTTAAGCTACTATGAGTAGTAGGCTAGTTCTATGATACTAACATTATCACATATGACACTGACATTATCTCGTAATATCGGCCCGCTGAAAATCTCGCCAACGAACAGACACATACGTGAATCAACTAATCTGGATCAATTAGAGATTCTGGAAGCGTTCGAGAAGTTGTCACCAAACCTCAGATACCTCCTGGCTGAGACCAAGTTCGCCCACCCCCGTGAAGCTGATAAGGCTATTCCTTAATCACAAAAATAGGTTTAATGAACACCACATGCCAGTATGAAAAGACTTAACAAAAAAAAAAAATAACGTCCTTAAATATTTTTTAGGAAAAAAATAATTAGAACATAATCGCGTAATAAAAATCAAACCCGCAAAAATTATAATTTGCGTAATTACTGGTGGTAGGACCTCTTGAGAGTCCGCGCGGGTAGGTACCACCATCCCGCCTATTTTTGCCGTAAAGCGGTAATGCGCTTCGGTTTGAACGGTAGGGCAGCCGTTGTAACTATACTTGAGACCTTAGAACTTATATCTCAAGGTGGGTGGCGCATTTACATTGTAGATGTCTATGGGCTCCAGTAACCACTTAACACCTTAACACCAGGTGGGCTCTGAGCTTGTCCACCCATCTAAGCAATAAAACAAAAAAAAACATAAGGCCATAACCAATTAGAAAGCAAAAAGATTTAGATTATTAAGAAATTTGTTGCTTGCTGTTCTTTGCTTGAATACATTTTCCTTCAACAATTCAGATAGTTTAGGCATTCACGTCTGTCTACGAACTGATAATTGAGAAATTATCTGTTATTTCTGTTGTTATTACAACAATTTAATACCTTGTTAACTTTTAACTGCGGAGATTTGTCTCGATGTTGATAACAACTGTTGTAGATAAGTTCTATTATCAAAACGAACCTCATACGAGTATTAAAAGACAAAATATCTGCAAATTTGATATTTATTTGATGAAATTACCTAAATTAAAAAATTATTAACCAGGTTATAAAAATACTTTAAATAGGTAATAAAAACCATAATAATGTATATTAAAATAGAATTTTGAAAAATATATTAATGATCGTCAAAGAACGTGATCAAAACCGACCCATCCTGAATTTTTAATTACGCCTCGTTATTAAAATTAATTTAAAATCGTGGACCGCAACGGTAGTGTCATCTAACTACAATTGCAGGCGGCAAGTGACTTTACTCTTTTATATGAATCTCTGTTGAATCGATTTTTTTCTTTACCTATTCGCTATACTAGTAGGCTAGAGGGTTATTCCGGCTACGCCCGGAGTTGAATCGATCTTGACCGTGGCGATACTGTGGCTAACCTAATTACCATTGTTATAGATTGTTGTCGGCAGGCGCACCTTTTTAGTACACGTTCTTACGGATCCACCAAATCCAATAACTCTTGCATTAGAAGCCGTTAGCTCTAACACTAGGAGTAGGGACCCGGTAACCGTACTCTTTGAACTCAGCAAAGAGTTCGACGTGCAACCTAACCTAAACATCAACCCGCTGAGTTTCTCGCCGGATCTTCTCAGCACGTCACGGTTCCGATCCGGTAGTTGAGGTCTCCTTTGGAGGCGATCGGGTAGCTGTTAGCAAATCCCACCCCTATTGGCTGAGCCCTTGCTCGCCCACCTGCCCTGGTAAAACTGGAAAGGCCTCCGGGCCAACAGTAATCTTTGAATGAATGAATGAATGAATGAATGTAAATTATTTATTGCAAAAAAATATTGCGCAAAGCGAACTTAACGCCATGCTTAATTATGTTCAAATGTTTTTTTATGTAAAAAAAAAACCTTTTTAGTACTTTGAGTAACAGAAATCGACATAATTACTGCAGTACGCCACGTAGGGCACCGGTGACCTACACGGCAGTCAAAGGGTTAAAAACGACATTGACGTGATTAGCCGGGAACAGCGTTTGATTTCTTACAAAGTATGAAAGGTCGAAAACTACGGAGGTTCAATGGAGATTCTTGGATGTAGAAACAAGGACCACGATTTATCGCGTGCCGGGAAATTAAATTCAATTGCTTCAACATTGATGCTGTGGATTTCACAAAGCTTTGGACAATCAAGTAGACAAAAGACCGTTGTATTCACAATCGAACACAATAGCGGAATTAAACAAAAAATACGTCATCGATTTATTGAAACTTAGTTATTAAGTACATAATTTCACTACAATTATCTTTTTCTAAATGTTGAGGAATTTATTAGGCGAAAACAATTGTTTTTAGGAATAAAAGGTCGCGGAGTTAGTGTACTTGATTATAGCTACAATTTCCATTGTTTACCAGAAGATGTTACTTGATAATTATCTGACTAAGCACCAGAAGATAAGGAAATCATTCTTGAACGAAGTCATTCTTGAAATACAATAGCTACCAAATGCTTATATTCCATTCACCGAAGTTTTCCAACCGTCAATACTGGTTGCAGCCCGCGCAGATTTGTATCAAGATCCTCTTACGTATTTCCGCCGTCGAACTTCGAAGATCTAAGATCGAGAGCACTGCGTTTCAATATTACTGAGACTTGAATCTTATCGAATAATTTAAGTTGGGTGGAGGAGAAAACTCATAATGAGTTGTACTGTAAAAAAACGGAGTCTTTAGAAGTCATATCTCAAGGTAGGTGGCGGAATTTACGTTGTAGATATCTATGGGCTCCAATAGCCCCTTAACATCAGGTGAGCCGTGAGCTCGTTTACCCACATATACAATATAAATTTATTTTATACCCACTTCATCATCATCATCATCAGCCTGCGGCAGTCCACTGCTGGACATAGGCCTCCCCCAATATAAGCTGCCGGGAACTGGGGGCCGTTTTTTATTTGTAGTTGCCATAAGGGGGGCCTTATGCCGTAATCGCCACGCTTGGCAGGCGGGTTGGCGAACGCAGTACTCGGTGCCTTGCACCGGTAATGCTGCTGCCCGTTACCGGCCAGGAGATTTCCGCACCGAGCGGTTTTTGTTGATGGTTATTCCGCCATCTATCGATCGCCAGAGCCCTGTTCGTCAATCAGCAGGATGCACCACGTGCAGGTATGATGGTGATGATGATGATGAATATGTCCAGATAATAATGCTGTTCCAATTAAATAACAAGAAAAATGGGCTATGCGGCAGAGAAATCGAAAGGCAGTTTAACTAATTCTGTGTTAATAAATGATTTTTTTTAAATGAGTCAGTCACAGATTTTTTGAGATTAAGGATACAAATAAAAAAAAACAACATACTATGCAGTTTCCCTGATCACTTCCGACGTATCTAATTGGTAAAGCAAGAATAAACATGGAAAATATCTTAATTTGGAAAAAAAAACTTTGGATTTCCCAATATATATTTATTTTTTTCTAAGCCAACGTGGCTAATTCAACAAGGAACAAGAAATATTTGTATTTTCGTGAACAAGTACCGAAGTGTCATTTAATGTAACCGCATGACACATTACACGTTTGTTTTGATATGTGATTAGTGACTGTCAGATACACGGGTCTTAGCCGGTTGTTTCACACAAAATTCGAAATTATTAAAATCAATTCATAACCATTGCTACAGAGGTTTTTTTTTGTTGCTTAGATGGGTGGACGGGCTCACAGCCCACCTGGTGTTAAGTGGTTACTAGAGCCCATAGACATCTACAACGTATAAATGCGCCACCCACCTTGAGATATAAGTTCTAAGGCCTCAGTATAGTTAGTTACAACGGCTGCCCCACCCTTCAAATCGAAACACATTACTGTTTCACGGCAGAAATAAGCGGGGTGGTGGTACCCCCCGTGAGGGCTCACAAGAGGTCCTACCACCAGTAAAAAGTATGAATCCTTATTTAAGAAATATGTAAAAAAATTACCAAATTTTTTTTTTGCAGTCACGTAAAATGATTTATATAAACATAAAATCTTTTTTATCGAGACAGCTTTCGACGATCAGAGATATCATTTCAATTCTCGTGTGACGTAAATACACGCCTTGAAGTCCTTCAATCATATTTGCGAAATACTAACCAGGCGTTTTTAATTTGTCGCGGAACCAAATTTATGCAACCTCAAAACGATTAAATCATCAGAGGCAGCATGACGAAAAGAGGGGGCAAAGATAACGGCAGGGAGTGCAAAACCATAGCTACGTAGCTTCTCGCGTCAGAAGCCCGCGCAGCCTTCATTCAATCGCACGTCTTAATAACAACCGCGCCCGTACGTACGACCACGGTACAATAACGCGAGCTCGTCGAGAAATAAACCAGTTGTTAACGCATCTCAACCCCGTTGCTCGTTGCATCGACAGGTAACGAAGAGTACGGATGTCCAGAAACAGAAGTGCCGTGATTGTGTTATTTGAAGCGAGTTTGTTCTTTCGATTGTGACGAAAATTAAAAAAAAATAGATTTTTAAATTTAGAATAATAGAAAAAAAAAAACATGCTCTTGCTTGGAACTATTTGCTGATAGTATCGTTTTTATTTGTTCAATAAAATCCATACTATAATAATAATAATAATTCGGGTTCCTGCTCAGTCACATTAACAGGTAAGCAATTAAAGCTTATTTTGTGTTAAACAAAAACTAATATGAACAATCAAGTAATTCATCGTAAATAAATTTATTTATTTACACTTCATACAAAAGTTGTCTGTGTAAATAATATTAGGTGCATTGAAATATAAATAAACACACGTGTTAGTAAGTGTAAATATATATACATCTAGTTTATACAATATTTAAAGGAATTAAAACTTAAATTTTCGTGAATAATTATTTAAGACAAGATGTAAAATTCGAAGATGTTAATAATTTAAAAATAATTACCACTATGTACAATCTCGTTACTTAAACAAACCACTTAATTGATGAATTTTATTTTTGTTTGCTAAAACCAGATAGGCAGGTTATTAACTAGTTCACACAATGTTTACATTAATCTTCGTACTTAAGTAGATAATTTCGAAGTCTTAACGGATAGAAAACAATGAAAGATTTAATGAACAATAAAATAATGAGTTTTCTTGATTTGATTTCTTAATTAATGACGAATCATATGACAGATTCAGTTGAAGTTAGTTTTAAGTTATAATATTAATGGCGCGAAATAGTTGATGTTCCGGTTTGAAGGTCAGATTAGGAGAGCCTTTATTTCTCATTCAATTTTTTTTAATTGCCTTGGTAGGCAGATGAGCATACGGCCCACCTGATGGTAAGTGTTTACCGTCGCCCATGGACGTCAGCAAAGCCAGCGGCAGGGCGAAGGCGCTGCCTACCGTGTCACTGACCTCATGTTACACGGCAGACGACGTATATACCCGATAATGGGTCCATGGGCTGTGGCGGAAGCGTTGCATATGAAGTTTTTTTTTGACACATTAGGTACTACAAACTTTTAAGAAATTACATTTAAGTGATTTAGTGAATTTTGGTATATGAAAAAAAATATATATCGTAACAATTTTTTTCTTTTAAGCCTCCTTTTTCCTGCATTTATACAACTTCTTATTTTTTCATAAAGGTCATTTTTCATACTACATCACTGCATTCACACTCTTCCCTCACATATCTTCTATCAAACAGTCAATGCAATGAGGTTCTCGGACCAAATTACAAATAAATCTCACAAAAAAAAATGGTTATTTGAACAGAATTATAGTAACAATGAAATAATTTCTATTGCTATGTGCGTAAATGGGAATCACACGCCTTATTATGATTATAGCTGGAAAACAAAAAAAATTGTGTATTTTTGTTCAATTTCCATTTATCGTACTACAATTTATTATACCGAAAATCGCATATGAAGTGCATACAACAACTGCTTGAATTCAAATTAGATAAACAACATGCAAACGTATAGATCACGAATGTATATTTATCTAATTAATTGTATTGAGGAGGATTTCTTCAAAAACCACAATTACAAATAGTGTGTACGTAAGGCGAGAAGAATTACTAAATCAGTATTCGAATATTTGGTTAGGAAAATGTACATGTTATACATAGTAAATGGAACTCAAATAATACTAAAATATACCACAAATATACGTGCGTAACAATAAAACACATTAAAATCTAAGAAAACGTGTTCAAGAAGAATCTATATATTAATACGTGAAGCAAAAACTTTGTATCCCTTTTTACGAAAATTGCGCGGACGGAGGACTATGAAATTTTCCACACTTATAGAGAATATAGAGAAGAAGTGACCAATGCTAATATTTTTTTTAAATAATTCATAAAAGATACATTAAATCAATAAAGAAAACATTACACACACTATATATCATGTATTTGACGCACACACGCATGCATACTATTAATTGTCAAACTTTTGTTCTTGACGTCTGTTGTCAAATTGAGAATAGTCTAAATATTGTTTGTCTTTATTAATATTTTTTTATAGTGTAAGCCTTGGCGAAATTTGTGATTATAGAAGTATAAAATAAAATCATAATAGTGTACAAACTTATTATACAATTCCAATTAATTATAGTCGAATTTCGACTACTGCGGGACCTCTAGTCCGACTAAAAATGTCACATGAGTGGCAAGAAATAATAATATTCTTTAGTTCGCCTCCTAAATACTTGTGAAGATAATTAAGTAATAAGTATTCAGTAAGCGCGCGCAATGAAAATTAAATTTTATATTTGTATCCTATTAATTAATTGTTATAAATCGGTTCTAAGCTCGTGGTTATCGCTACACGTGCAATTGAGAATAGTGCTCTCGACAAACACTCAATTGATGTGTTTTTCCGCTCTATTTAGTGAAAACGACCTTTTCTTTAGGGCCCGTAGGTCAGCAGATGACCTACACTTATTCGCCGGAAGTACTACGCGTGTACGCATGTGTGATATGTAGATACATAGTTCTATAATCACACATACATTATAATATGTACTGTATAATATCTGTATTGTATAATATCTTACTGATGTGAGTCCGTACGGGCAGCTACCATCGCCCTGCTTATTTCTGTCGTGAAGCTGTAGTGCGTTTCGGTTTGAAGAGTGGGGCAGCCGTTCTAACTATACCTATAACTAAACTATATGAGACCTTAGAACTTATATCTCAAGGTAGGTGGCAGCATTTACGTTGTAGATGTCGATGGGCTCCAGTAAACACTTAACACCAGGTGGGCTGTGAGCCCGTCCACACATCTAAGCAATAAAAAAAACGTAGTAAATTGATTATTAAAAATCAGCGGTTAGGTTTGAGGTCAACAGGTTGATTTAGATTCAATGCACTTTTCTTGCTTTCGCGCGTCAATAGATAGTTTATTTAGGACATTATTTTAATAAGCTTCTGATTTGAAATGTTTTTTTGTTGCCAAGGAAAGCAATTGAGTTCCTTTAGTGGTAAGCGTTTACCGTTGCCCATCGACATCAGCAAAATTAGGGACGAATTTTATCTGCGGCTTACCTTGTATACCATAATTTGTTAAATATAAATAGTTTGATATAATATGATATTATATTATATGTATTTTTTTTATTGCTCAGATTGTTGGTAAGCTCCAGTAACCACTTAATACCAGCCCACCTGGTATTAAGTGGTTACTGGAGCCCATAGACATCTACGTTATGTTACCTCTATCTTACATTATGTAAATGCGCCACCCACCTTGAGATATAAGTTCTAAGGTCTCAGTATAGTTACAAGGGATGCCCCACCCTACAAACTGAAAGGCATTACTGCTCCACGGCAGAAATAGGCAGGGTGGTGGTACCGACCCGCGCGGACCTACAAGAGGTCCTACCACCAGTGCTAACTGTATGCTAACTATATGCTGTGATAACAAAAGATTTTCAGAATCTGTTCCGATACACCTTCAAGTTTTAAGCTCGCACTTAAGCTCTACATCTTTAAGCTCGCTTAACGGCTAGGTCGCAATTTTAATCTTTAGGGCAGCCCATTTGTCGAAGATAGGGAACTAAATAATTCACTTTGAAAATAGCATATCCTACACGTGCTATAAACACATATAACACGCGAATGTGTAAACAAATAAAAAGCCGATCTATGACTCCATCATCGCAATGGTCAGGTCGTTTACGATTCAAAACGTTTTAAAGAACATCTTCACATTCATTATCAACATCAAGTTCCTTTGAAGTCGCTATGAAAGATGGTAGGTTTTTTTTTTTAAATATGACTACGTGTTTATTTCGACTTGTTTTTTGAAGCTTATTTTTGAACATGAGCACACACACACACAACTATTGATGAGGTACACACGTCGACTTTATTAAGTGTCAAATTAATAACGAAATTAGTATGGGAATCTTGAAAGAAATATATCTGTAATCTGTTCGATGTCCAAATAAATTGAGAACATTTGTTTATTCATTAAACCGATCACTGTGTGTTCGATTTTGTATATTACCTGTTTCTGTGCGTTCGAGGATCATTTGTTTTGTAATGATGAGCTTTTGTTGGTATTTCAGGGAAGGTTTTTTATATATGTAACTACATAATATATCAAACTTTGGAGTCGTCGTGGCCTAAAAGATAAGACGTCCGATCCGGTCCGGTATCTTGCGTTGCACCAGTGTTCGAATCCCGCAGGCGGGTACCAATTTTTCTAATGAAATACGTACTTATGAAATGTTCACGATTAACTTCCACGGCGAAGGAATAGCATCGTGTAATAAAAATCAAACCCACAAAAAATTATAACTAATTTGCGTAATTATTGGTGGTAGGACGTTTTGTGAGTCCGTACGGGTAAGTACCACCAGCCTGCCTATTTCTGCCGTGAAGCAGTAATGCGTTTCGGTTTGAAAGGTGGGGCAGCCGTTGTACTGTACTGAGACCTTAGAACTCATATCTCAAGTTGGGCGGCGGGATTTAGGTTGTAGATGTCTATGGGCTCCGGTAACCACTTAACATCAAGTGGGCCGTGAGCTCGTCCAAACATCTAAGTAATAAAAAAAAAAAAAAACAATAGAGGCATAAAAGGTGCGCGCTTCGGATTTTTTTCAACAGATGGATGTATATCATATATTTGGGCATAATTTCAACGAAATGTAACTGAGATGCAATTTTTGTTAGTAAAGGTAGAATTTCGTTCTGGGAGTGGGCGAGTTGTCGGCAGCGTCGTTAACTTGACAGTAGATGGAGCGTGAGCTCATCTCCAAGGTACGGGTAACTTACTAAGGGCACCTGAAGGATAAATGAAGCTTTTAAACTTGAACTTCGTCTTCCTTGTCGGATACTCTTGGCAGAGTAGTCGTGGCTGTAATGGACAGGGTTGCGTCTCGTCGTCGCAAACATGAACTATGTAGATACACCACAAATAATATAGCAACTTTGACAATCTTATTCCGTACCTAACTTTGAGAATCTTTTATTATTGTTCAAATGAGAACCACAAATAATATGGAAACTTTGACAATGTTATTCCGAACCTAGCTTTGAGAATATTTTATTATTGTACAAGTGAGACCGGTCACGCGGCGATGTGACTATTAAACTAAAAAAAAACTTGGATATCTTGAAACTACACGCGCGCCACCTATAAGAGATATCTTCCGTGG